TGTGTGCCGGTTGTGGGTGTGTTTACGTATGTGTGTGTGTGTGTGTGTGTGTGTGTGTGTGTGTGTGTGTGTGTGTGTGCGCGTGCGTTGAAGACGACGGGTGTTTGCCTGAAACGTAAAAACAACGTGCTTGTGTTGATCTGAGATTTCTTTATAGCCTTTTTCGAGAGTTCCTCAATAAATCATTGGGTTTTTTGTTGCATTACAAGTTCTTGTACAGGCAGATATAGAGGCAGAGATAAGCAACCCTGTAACATAAAATATAAATTATATCCTCAATGTCACACTCTAACCATGTATGCGTGGGTAGGTGGCAAGTACTCTGGTGTGGTTTGCTCCCTCTTTTCTACCAAACGTCTATCGTTCTTATCTCTCCTCCTTTTTTGTGCTTGCTCCCCTCTTGTAACACCTATAATCTTCTGCAAGTACATAACATAATTGTGTTACAAATGTAAAAAAAACCTCTTACTAAAACAAACAAAAAATCCCAAAACAGAACCATGTAGGACTGTGTGCGTGCGTTTATATCGAGGACACGGAAGGAAATGTGTATTGTTTTTTCGACTACAAAAGTGGAAAAACAAAACAAAAACAAAACAAAGCAAAACATTGCAATACAAGACAAAACAAATTTTCTCAAAATAGAAGCAAAAAACCTCGTTATTTCGCTCTCGTTATCCACAGAACTGCTCAAAATATGTAAAGTGTTCTTGTCACATAATTAATAGAGTCTCTAGCATCATCAGTTATTATAGGAGGAATTCCTTATTTGTCACTTATTGTGACAAGATCCTCTGAGCAAATTATGCAAGGGTTAGGGGTTTGGTTTAGGGTTTTGGGTTAGGGTGAGGGTTAATGTTAGGGTATAGGGTTAGGGTTAATGTTTAGGGTTAAGGTTAGGGTTAGGGTATACCCCGCTCAAAATATCCCCTCTTTTTGTGTTGTTGGTCGGCCGGCCCTCTGCGGAGCTCCTTCCATCCTTATTATAATTAGAGTTGTGAATAAATGACAGAATAATTATGTTATCGGTCCTATCGGAGACGAACGTTAAACTAGGAGGTCCCGCTCCTTAAATAACCTAATAGTGTTGATAGAGGGGCGTTAAACCTATACCATTTCACCATTTTAAAATTATGTTATTATAATTACAGTTGTGAATAAATGACAGAATAATTCGAGCCCTCTATCAACAAGTCAATAAGTGTTTTAACCTAATTTGCCGGATACACGTCTTGTGTCGGACACCAACGATGAAGCCAACGACGACGATGAATACGACAATGACGATGATGGCAACGATGATATTCTGACACTACAATCCACGAACTTGAGGCACGTCCTTGGTCACGTTTTCCAGCTGCCCACCAAGACAGGCAGTGTGTGTTTACTTTGCTTTCTTTTTGGGGGAGCTCGTACTTCGACCTGGGCGAGGACGGGTCGGAACCCTACCGAAGTGTCTCCACTGTGACTACAAGTACAAGGCCACAAAACGTGAGTATGCTTGAGACGTTGAGACGGAAGAAGTACGTTAGGAGTTTCTTTTGCTTTTTTATTCTTGAAATTAAAAAAAAAAGATGTTCTTTTTCGCGGGTTAGGATGGTTTTTTTTGTTTTTTAAAGGAAGAAAA